CCTCCCCAATCGTTTTTCCCTTGTGCATTGTAACTTTGTTAGATCATAGTCCCGTCAAAAGAGTCTGACTTGTACAAACGCTTATAATTATGCCTCTCTGGAAGTCATTTGGCTGAGGAGGGGCATAACGATTCTTCAGCAGTCCAAAAGAGCAGTCCAAAAGCACCCTCTGTCCATTGCTTTGCTCTTATTTGTTCTATTTATGGGTTTAAATCAATGCAAAATTACACTTTAGAAAATTCAAAACGATGGGATCTGCTACCACAAGAGGTTCCAACTTGGCCAGCTTTAGAAGGGAATGTTATAAGATTCGTGGAGGATTCATGGTGGCTACTAGAATGCATGCTAGCTACCGACTCCTTCCAGCAGCAAAGGCACTATGCATCCCAATCCCACCGGCTGTGAGCACACGCAGGGGACAGCTGCTCCCCCCTTGTCCTCCTCTTGAGCTTCCCGTGCATCTGGATGTCTGTCAAGAGAGCAGGATGCTCGGCCAAACAGTCCTTTGGTCTGATCCAGGTCAGCTTGTATGCTCTTATGTTCTTAATTATCTGATCCTGTAGGCTCAGAGAGAGGAGATAAGGAAGGCACAGGAAAGTAGGCAGTCAGAAGAGGAAATGAAAAAGAAAACAAGTCACTGGCTGTAGGGGGAAACAATCTTTCTGCATCAGGACCCTTTCAGTGAAAGCTGAAATGTCCTTCATTTCCTAACCCCCCACCTTGATTTAATTCACATGCCCCAATGATCAAGAGACAACCACCAGTAGCTGGATTTTGAACTTGGGACACATCTTCATGTTGCACATACTTTTTGATGTCAGTTCATAGCCTATAGAAGTGTGTTATGTGCTGTATTTTTCCTTGTTTATACATTTATTTATTTGGTAAACCACCTGTCTACAATATCTGCTTGATTATGTTACTTATTTATTGGATTTTCGCCTGATTTTCAGGCAAGAATCCTATCCCAAAGTGACTTGTATCAATAAATGGAGAGAGAGAGAGAGAGAGAGAGAGACCCTGTGTCCAGACTTTCAAACTAGCATGATGGGACACACAAGGGAAGAAATGTTGAGAAGGCCAAAACAAGGTGGCAAGCTAGTGGCTCGTCTTCCGTCACAGGTGTTCTTGCTTGAATGAGGCTCTTCCTTCACGCAAATCATGGTTTTTGCTCCTATTTTAAAACAAATGTTCTCGTACCTAAGACCAAATGTTTCTAAGCATGTGCAGAGTTCCCCGAAACCCCCCTCCCCCCAGAGAATGAAGAACATAACTCGGGAAAAGAAAGGTGGGCACGCCAAAATAATGTAGATTTCTAGGTATTTGGGGAACATTTTGGCCTATTCAGAAATTTCTAAGTTTGTGAATGGGTAAAGAAGATATTTGGGCAATTTGCATTTGTCATATGCCGCTACTTGTGGAATCCTACAGCAGTCAAGCCTGTTGAGATAAGGAATTCGGGTAACCTGTCTGCTCACCTTGCATAGACAGAACTCCTTAAGACCCTTTATTTCCTTCCACAGTGGAAGTCAAGTCCGCCCACAGAAAGCAAGGCCAAATTCCTAGGATTTATCTGCGGCCATTTCCGTATTTTCAGAGATTTGATCGAGCCCCTTTCATGGCAATGACAAAAATGGAAGAAAAGAACTTGGAAACACTGTCGTGATGAAAGCAAAACCTGTCCTCCCCTGCATGGTATTAGGTCCCATCCATGATGGCTTCATTAAGGAGGACTTTCTAGGTGCTTCCACATTTCTTATCATTCTACCCATATTGACCTGCATTTTGCTTCTTAATAATATCAATGTTAACATGCTCTCCACGGGGCTACAGCAAGATTTTGCATCTGGCATGCCCTAAGGTTTATCATCACAGCCTTGTTTACACAGGAAAGTGTCTGAACTGCACATGGAGTCCTGTTGTCTCTCAGCAAACACTCTTCAGAGAAACAAGATCTGTGCTACCGCCTGAGGCTTGTTATGAGGCTCAACTTGTTTCTTTTCATTTTAACTGATGCAATTTTCTGGCCATCACTTTGCACCCAGGGGCAATTTAAAGACATTACCCAACAGTTCTCAGTTCTCGTAGATATGACATTTGCCTATCATGTATTTCCCAAAATGGCAGCAAAAAGAAAAAGTCATCAGTTGAGATGATCTTCAGTGTAAGTTAATAATTCCCACATCTTTTGGCAGAACATATCAGCCGAGCTCAGGGAGCTGGCTTGCTGCTGTATTTTCTTTCGAGCACCCTGCACTAGTGCAAGATTTACAAAGTAGAAGGCAGCCGCCACGCAACTGAATGTGCATTCCAGTCGATGGACACTTCGTAGATTCTCCAAATATGGCAAATACGAACAACAGCCTGGTGTTGCTTTTTAGCATTCTCTTGCTTTTTGCATTGATGGTTATGGCTAGATTAACAAAAAGACAAGAAACAAAACACCAGGCCAAATCTCTCCATTGGAAGCAAACTTTTTAAAAGCTTAATTGCCAAGTGGAGGGGGAACTGGGGGTGGGCCCAGTGCACAGGGAAGGGAGACTTAAGCTAACCCCCGCCCCCCGCTGCTGATCCCGCCCAACACACACACACACACACACACACACACACACACACAGCAGCCCTTTGAGGACGGTGTGGCTGAGAGTCCGTGGCCAGCCCAAAATCACACAGCGAGCTTCATGGCAGAGTGGGGACTGGAACCCAAGTCCCTGGTGAGCCTCTATACCACTGAGCACGCCAACAAAAAGGATGGGGCCCATGAGACCATCGAGTCCAACCCCTGCCCTGCTCCCGCATGGGGTCACCCATCAGCGGCAGGCACACACCGCTGCAGCTCAGCAAAGGGGACTCGACATGGCGGCACAACGTGTAGCCCTGCAGCCCGGTTGCACTGGCGCACCAGTTCCACGCAGGGCATTGCATTAATGCAGTGGATCAAGACTGTGGGACTGCAGTGGTGAGAGTGCCCTGCCCAAACTAGGTGGCAGGTATTTTATTTATTATTAGGATATTTTTATCCTGTCCAATTACAGTTCATCCCTGGCCAGCACAGCACAATGAGAGGAAAGAGATTTATCTATTTATTTACTTACTTACTTATTTCCATTTCCTTTATTTCCATTTATTTACTTATTTGCATGTATCCCTATCAGCAGGACCAAGTTCACCATTACAATGATGTTTAGGGGTGAATGGATTTTCTCTAATCTATTGCATAAGCTTTGTGAATTGCCCAGCACTTTTTCTTCCATTGTCCACTTAAGGATGGCATAGGAATGTTTCACACAAATTTAGAAAAAGAATGGCAAACAACAAGAACAAACCTCAGCTGCAGTATATGTAACTTTCATCAGCATGTAACATTGCATATTTTCTTAGTTTTGTGTACAATCAGTGTGCAGCGCACACCCACAAAAACTGCTCCTCTGTAGAGAGTAAAGAAATATCAGTGATGTATAAATATTAATGTATAATGTATTTTCCAATAATGCACGTATTTTTGTTGGATTAAACTTGTGTACAGGAAGGAAGGAAGGATAAACGATATGGCCCTTCCCCTGTCCTCCATGTTTTCTCCAGAATAATAGACAGTGGTTCTGAGAGTTTTTCTGGCAGCAACTTTATGACTCTAGGATGGAGTTCATCAAGACCTGGAGCTTTGAACTCATTCAGTGCAATTGGATCATCCCTGACATCTCAATCTTGAGTTGCGGTCCTGCTCCTTCAGCTCGTACTTCCCCTTTATCAGGAAGGTCATAGATCTTCTTTTGGGAGAAGGCTGAGCCAATGTAGGAACTGAGCACTTCTGCCTTTCCTTTGTCATCTGGTATCATTTTGCCTCCACTCTGAGTAGGTGAATCGCCACCTTTTTCCTCCGTCTTTTACTTTGGACATAATCTGAAGAAGCTTTCTTGTTGGTTTTGGCACCTCTTACTAGCCTCAGTTCATTCCTAGCTTTAGCCTTCCTGACGTGTTCTTCATCTGTAGCCTGGCCTTCCTTCCGTTTTCTATGCATGTCCTTTCATTCCTTTTCAGATCATCTCAAAGCTTTTTGTGAAGCCACATGGGTTTCTTCTGTTGTCTTCTACCCATTTTTCTTGCTGGAATTGTTTGTAGTTGTGCCTTTAGGATTTCCTGAAATTCTCGCCCATCTTAGACTCCCCTTCTCATTAGAGTCACTTGTGACTTATCATTGTTCTGAGTTTCTCAAAACTGGCTTTCCTGAATCTAGGGTACATGTTTGGCTATATTTGGCTTTTGCTTCCTTCAGAATCAAGAATTTGAGTACAGCACAGTCACTTTTCTCCAGAATTCCCATAGCTGCCACTTTGTCTACCTGGTCTTCCTTTTGGTTAGTATCAAATTAAGTATAGCCCTTCAAGCTCTTGGTTCTTCCTCCACTTTCTGTTGGAGGAAGTTATCAACAACATGTGTTAGGAATCTCTTGAAGGGGCTGTTTTTGATAGATATCAATACAGAAATTGAAGTTTTTAATTTAGCTGAAATTGGTTGCTCATGTTTCCACACCACATACCAAAAAACATACACATTTTAAAAACCCTCAACATGACGGGAAAAAAACCTAGAGTTGCCAAAACCCTGTACAAAATACTTTATCCACGTGCAACACTGATAATATGACATCATGATCACAACCTCACATTCAAGAATTTCCATTTCCAGAGTGTATATTACAAAACATGCAACAACACTATATACTATATTCCATAAAACCATAAAAAGAGATGAATCCTGCTAATGTTTAAAATATGCATTAAAGGAATACTTCAGATTTCTTCACTTTTGCCATTCTTCATGGCAAACATTTTCAAAAATGGACAAACTCTATCCCTAATTTTTCTACTCGCTGTAGACAGAGCTTCCACAATCGGAGCAGATAACACAACGTGGGCATCCCAAAATTCGCAGTTATTCATACATGTGCAGACACTGGAAAGGAAATGGTACCCGCAAATGCTCTTGGTGCTTCTCCCATCTCAGACATCCCAAGCTTTGCAGACTTTGTTCAGGGGGGTGATGTCCCTGAGATCCTCCAGGTAAAGTCCTTGCCCCTGGGCAGCCCCAGTCTGTGGCCCACAAGGAACCTTAGGGTGCACATTCTTCAAGCAGATGGAATCAAAGGACTCCCCATCAGTGAAGATCTTGTTCCTGGTACCAAAGCTGCTGGCTGCCCTCTCAGCATATACCTCTTGAGGAACCAGCCTGTTAGAGCAGGCTGCCTGGAAGCCCTTCTTGAAGTTCTCATTGAAGTAGCCATAGATGATGGGGTTGATGCTGCTGTTGGAGAAGGCCAGCCAATGGGCAAAAGGGAATACGTACCCCGCCAGCACGTTGATGTGCTGCTCATCTAACTGGGCGTAGTCTGTGAGCAGCATCAGGGTCCACAGGGGCAGCCAGGAAAGCATGAACAGCAGGGCCACCAGAACAAGCATTTTGATCACCCTCACCTTCCTCCTGGAGATGGCCGTACCACATCGACCTTCCCTCTCCACGCGGTGCTGGCTCACAGGGCCTGATGACCTGTACAGCTTGAACCCAATCCTGCTGTACATGAAGGTGATGAAGCTCAGTGGGGCTACATAGATGTGGGCAAAGAGCACTGTGGTGTAGATTTTGCGCATTTTGCTATCTGGCCAGGCTTCATAGCAGGAGTACAAGGGGTAGGTGACGCTCTGATTGTCACCGTAAACCATGTAACTGTTCTCCTCTTGAACCACCGTGAGCATGATGGCAGAGGGACACATGATGGTGATGGCCAAGACCCAGATGAGAGCAATGGTGTTGAGAGCCTGGAAGAGGGAGAGCTTGGGTTTAAAGGGATAGACAATGCAGCGGAACCTGCAAAGAAAGACAGGGAGAGTTGAGGAGGGGAATGCAGGTGGGACAGGAGTACTAAGCACTGCATGGTGAGGAGAAACCTGGAGTCTTCCTTACGCTACATCAGGCAGTTTCTCCAGCTACTCTGAGTGTTCAGCCTCGTTCAACCGGAGGGCCAGATTCGATCTGGGGAAGCACTTGGGGGACTAGTAGGTAGGGCTCAAGGCAAATGGGATGGGGACAAAATACCAGCCCACTTTTGCTCTCTTGCCATCAGTAAGTCTTAGAAGAGGTATCTCAGCATCTTAGATTGGGGGGAAATGCAAAAGCTGAGAAACTGGCCAGTGATTGGTGGCCTGTGGAAGAGGGTAGGGGCCAAGGAAACAGAGAACCCCAGAGGGCTAGATTGGCCCAGGGGCCTTAGATTTTGCACCCTCGCTCTGTTATGACTGCCAGCATCTCTCCAGTCCCTTGGGCAAATGGCCTTTCTTATCATCTCCCACTTAAGCCTTTTCACTGTAAATAGCAGACTCTGGTCCCTCGCTCTTGGCCTCAAAGCACATGGGGGGCCATGTGTTCTCTGTGTCCTGTTACTCCTTGGGGTGGTACCATTTGTGGCCTCTAACAGCAGGCTCACTTCATGGAATGTTCTCGCATCTGAAAAGTTCCCTCATCCTCATCATCCCTCCATAGGGAAGCCCAGGTGCCTCGGACAAGTGTTCTAGCTTGGGAAATACCAGCTTCTCCTGCACCCCCTTCTCGCACCATTTTTCTCTGGGCAGAGTGAGAGGCAGGTGACGAGGCAGACTGGAGGAGTGAAGAGAAGGAGAGCATTTAGGTGGCTCTTGCCCACGGGGTGTGTGCATTTGGCAAGACTCTACCCTTAACTCAAGCTCTGACTCAGGTGATGTTCAGTGTATCTGGCAGAGTAATTGCAGGATAACAGGCCTGGCCTATAGGAGCTTCCTCACTCTGTTCAGGGCCAAAGACATCCAACCCCCCGGGTGCCTTCTCCCATCCCCAGCACCTGGCAGCAGAACACTGGCAGCAGGGGAGCGCTGCTCAGCGCTGTTGCAAAGCTGTGTGCTCTGCCTTTAGGACCTCCCCGGCTTACCTGTCCACAGCGATGGCCACCAGGGTGAAGACCGACGACGAGACAGACATGCCTTGGGCCAGCCCACTCATCTTGCAGATGCTGCTGCCAAAGGGCCATCCTAGGAGAAAGAAATAAGCCATCACAGCCGTGTGCAAGTCTAAGTTTACAAGCTGGCCCTGTGCATTTAATATAAGAGAGCCAATGCGGTGTAGTGGTTAAGAGCATGGGACTGGGACTTGGACGACCTGGGTTCTAGTCCCCGCTCAGCCATGGAGCCAACTGGGTGACTTTGGGCCAGTCACAGACTCTCAGCCCAACCTGCCTCACAGGGTTGTTGTTGTGGGGATAAGATGGAGGAGGAGAATGATGTAAGCTGCCTTGAGCCTTTTGTAGGAAAAAGGCAGGATATAAATCAATCAATCAATCAATCAATCAATATGCTCCTGGGCAGCTGCGATCAGACCACATGGTCATCTAGCCTAGTCACGTTCACACTAACTAGCAGTAGCTCTAAGAACTCTGGGCAGCGCTCTCTGTAGAAGCCGTAAGATTTTTCAGAGTCCCAACTCTGGCTTCGGAAACCTGTACCGGCAGGGAGCCAGCGGCACCCTTCCCCTGCCCTTGCAGTAGGCACAGAACGAGCCATGTCAGCTGTAGCTCTGAGGTCACAACAGCAACTTTGGGGGCAGGGAGAGAAGCAAGCCTGGAGGGGACAGTCTCCATTCACATGCCAGGTGGCCCGGTGGCGCCTCACATGCCTCGTTGCCCACTCTGAGGCCAAACACTTAGGCCATCGAAATCAGACATCTAGGGGTTTTGACTGGGTCTGGAGGAGACCTTCACTTCTGGACTCCTCCTTCCATGCAAATTATGTCTGTTCCTACAAGTTCAAAGGGCTGCCAGCAGCCTCGTTAGACTGCACCCATTGCATTTGATGTGGACTGTTATTATGCTTTGTGTTTTAAAGTTCTGGAAACTGCCTTGCAAGGACAGGCGCCTGACAAGGTTAAAAATCTTTTAAATCAGGTGTGAGTGACCCTAGGAAGTCCAGGGGCTACGTTCCATCCCATGGCTATCGCCTTCCTGTGCATGCACACAGAGGAGGGGGGTGGAGAGAATGTTGTATCCCAGTGACCAAATCAAGGCAGATCATTCCCAAATTCTGACAGCAGATTGTCCCTTTGAATCTTCCACAGGAGTTTGTTCCCCAGATTTGGTGGCAAGTCACTGTGGGTGGTAACCAGTCCCCTCCTGCCACACACACACACACACACACACACACACACACACACGGGCTTCCCATCAATCCCCAGCCAGCAGAATCTACCAGGGAGTTGTACGATGCTTCCTTTTGTCTAAACATGCATAGATTGTGCTCAAGATAAAGAATCCCACTTGATCAGTTCTAAGAACCATCAGGTCTGTAGCAGCCTGTTTTCCAACAAATGGCTCTTGCAGGACACAGATATGCATTTCTTTATGATTTTATTCCCCCCTTTTTGTGAAAAATAATCATCCCAAAGTGGAGTGCAGAACACAGAACGCTCAATGAAGTCGCACGACCACCCAGCAGCCGTCATTCTCTTCTTTCCTTACCTGTTATTAAATTGTCTACTAAGGTGGTGGGCACACAGAAGATGCCCACCAGCAGATCACTGATGGCCAGGTTGAGTATAAAGAGGTTGGTGACTGTTCTCATTTGGCTGTTTTTCAACACAACAAAGCAAACCAGGCTGTTCCCAACCATGCAGGCAGCAAAGATGAACAGGTAGGCAACAGCGTAGAGAGCAGCGACAGATGGCGAGTGCTGATAGTAGGGCAGATAAGTCAGATTCCTTTGGGCGCTTCCCAGGGAGTCACCTGTTTGATTAATGCTGCCTTCCAGGACCTTCATGGTGCAGCGGGGATTTGGCTCACCTGGCAAAATGCAAGAGGAAGCCGCAAATGAATTTCGACAGCCACATCTGCACCAAGAGCATGTTACTAGCGAATGAACAGACGACAACTCAGAAAGGCAGTTGCAGCAGAAGACTCCAAAGGAATGGAGCTGCAGCCATCATGGTAGAGATGGAGCAGAACTGGAGGATGGGGGGAAAGGAAGGGGAGGTGCAGGATGCATCCAGCAGAGACAGCCATTTACTTAAGGAAAGGTGACTTGTGTTTGGTGCCTTCACTCCATTTGCCTCTGGGCCCACCCCATTTTCTTCTAACTGCACCCAGTGCTGGAACACTTCCCCATGCAGGAGTAGACTTTCAGGCTGAAAGAAATTCCCATAGCTGGACTGAATGAAAAAAAAAACGTTCCAGTGCAATCTCAACCCCCTGCCAAAACAAAACAAAAACAGAAAAAGTGACTTATTCACTTGTGAATAATGTGGGGAAATAGGTCTGGTTGTGCCTGCTGGTTGTGCGACCAAAATCAACATGCCCATCTGGTCCAATCCCCTGACCAATGCCAGCTTGGTAGAATGTCTCAGGTGGTGATGGGGGCTTTCCAACATACAACTATTTGTAATGGTGCATACACTCTTGGATCCTTACAAGCTTCTGTAGTTTTGTGTGACCAAACTTGCATACGCTTACAGAAAGTTTAGAAAATGGTTTGCAAATCCACAGAATTTGTGCACCTCTGAAAACCCACTAGATGTGGATTCTACTGGATGGTGTCATAGGATCTGGTGTAATTTGCATCCGTTGTGGATTTATCCAACATCCCTGCTTCACTGTTCTGCAAGACCTTCTAGTTATGATGTGTCTAGCCATTTGTTCTTAAACCTTCCTTGCAATGCTGTGAGATCACTGAAGCAACGTTATTTTTGTTTGGCTCCTTGGGGTTTTTTGTTTGTTTTTGTTTTAAGGATGGCAGTGCTCACAACGCCATCTGCGATCTGCCCACCCAAATTTCAGCTGCAGATTTCCTACTGTGGTTGCTGAAAACATCTCATCCATACCCTGCACACCACCCAGAAGAACCATCTTGTAGCAGCTAAAGAAAAAGAAAGTATTTAAAATGATTTTAAATCTCTGGCAAATTCTTACTGACAACCAAATTCACCCTTGTGTCTGATGTTCTTTACCATGGGCATCAATCCAGCCCTACACTGCTTTTCTATTTGATTTGTTGTGGTGACCTGGCGCTGGCTTGGACCCCAGCTATTGGCACTGAACTGGCACAATGGTGCCCCCTGGTACTGGCCACCCCCATTGAGAGCCTCCAGGACTCTTGATCCCTCAGGAATGACTGGTCAAGGATCCCAGTGGGGACTTTTGCAGTGTTCGTCTTTGTAGCTCTCCTGCTGCAATAACATTTGCGCTCTGCATTTCTACCAAAATTGGCAGTTGAGGTAGGTAGCACACCTCTTATAATCCTGGCAGCCCTAGTGATGGTGCTAAGGCACAGTATTCTGTTGGGATGACGCTTATTCTAAGTACTGGGGCCACGTCCGTATTTCAAAGAGCCATGGCAAAGAAGGCCTCTTCTCTTGGCTGTAGATGCAGCACTCCAAGTGGCCACAGAAGCCGCCACTGAATTATCGCTATGCCCCTGGAATGGTGCTACACTGGGGATGGGAAAGACGAGGACTGGGTGGAAACTGCCAGGCACTGAAGGCAATTATGGTGTTCTAGATGGAGGTGAGGTTGGGATGACTCATATGACCAGTAAGCCCGGGCCACAGAGGAGAGAATAGGAATGGGGTGGCAGGGGGAGGCACTTGCCCCAGGAGTAACAGTGGCAAAGCTGGGGCAATCCAATACAAAATGAAGGAAATGGAGGCTCAGTTGCTTACTGGGAAGACAATAATGTCAGGGAAGGGTGAAGGCCGGAGAAGAAGAGGAAGACCAACCATGCGGTGGAGCAATTCCATAAACGAAGACACCGCCTTGAGTTTGCAAAGTCTGAGCAGGGCTGTGAAGGAAAGGCCATACTGGAGGGCTTCCATTCATAGGGTTGCCATAAGTTGGAGATGATTTTATAGCACAGAGAGAAACTAGCAAATAGCCCGGAAGTCCTTTTGGTCAGACAGACAGATAAGACCCAGGTAAGCCTTGTTTTGGGGGGAATTACTGGAGATGACAGAACAAAAATGTGGATTGATTCAGTGGTGAGGGGTCGTAATAAGGGAACTCACTCTCAAGGGTGAAAGGGATTTTGTCTCTCTGAAGGGATGCAGAGAAGCTACATTAGCTCCGAGAACGTCTATTAAAGGAGAGTTTGTCACAGGGGCATCGTGGAAAATGAACAGGGGCAGTGCGAGTTATTGAAAAATCCACTACACAGGGCGAAGAATGAAAGGACAAGTTTACATATGTGAAGGTATGTTATATGTTTCTGTGTATGTGTGTCCTTAAAGAGCCCTGTTTGTAAGAATGGATGTCTGGATAGGGAAGGGTATTTGATTTCCAAAACAAAAATACTGCCCCCCCCCGCCCCGCCCGGCCAGCAGAATGCTTCCAGGGGGAGGGCAGAGGGGGAGAAGTACATGCGGAAAAAATGACAGCAAATCCAGGAGGATCAGATACAATTCAAGGGGCCTGGGCACATCATGAGAAGGCAAGACTCACTGGGGAAGACAGCAATGCTGGGGAAAGTTGAAGGCAGAAGGAGAGGAGGAAGACCAGCAATGGGATGGGTCAATTCCTTAAATGAAGACACAGCCTTGAGTTTACAGGAGCTGAGCAGGGTTGCCAAAGACAGGGTATTTTGTCAAAAGGGACACGTACCAACAGATACAACAGAAATTGGCAGGTACCCTATATGTTTATTTTAACAAGTGCCCACCAGGAGGTTGGTGAGGCAGAGATACGAGGCATCAGATGAAGGATTTGGGGGCCCAGGCCTAGTGGGTGGCCCCATGATGCTGCCTCTGGAAATTAACACAGCAGCTGGACTCAACTACTTGGAGCCTCAGGTTGGAAGAGTGGCTGTTGGAGGCCCTGGAATAAGCATGAGTGGTAGGCCTTGCTGGGCATTGGAGACAAAACAACGGCCCAAGAATGCCAGGAACTGGCAGGGCCACGCAGAAAGACGCTCCTATGGGGAACTGCTACCCAGGGTGCCGTGCATGGAAACACTGTCCTGCAGATGGAATTGGTGCACCCAGAAGACTGATTGGTAGGGAAGCTGCAACCATTTACAGCTTAATTCAGCATGCATTGCAATGAAAAAACAAACACACACAGAGCTTATTAGTCACCAGACATTAATGGGGAAAACAAGGGCAAGAGGACATTTACCCAAGAGCTGAATGATAATGCCCACTGCAACTGGCATCCCAAGAATGCTCTGCTTGTGAGATTCACTTGGGCACCTATTGAAAGCAACCAGCCCTGCATTGTCAGGAGTGTCCCTGAAGGGATGAGTAGCTATTCAGCCTTGCAATTATACTCCTGTTAAATAAGCAAGTGGTATGTGATTCTTTCATTAGATCCCTTCATTGCATTCCTTTCTGATCCAGAAGGCAGAGCAGCTCAGTTACCTGTTGTTTTCTCCATAGTCAAGGGAAGCTGATCTTTGTTGGGAGACAAAAGCAGCTCTCTTGCAACCAAATGTGTTTCCTCCTCCATCAAAGGGACCTGAATGTAGGTGGCTGAGATGCAGAGGGAACAAATGGGGGTATCGGAGGCCTTGTTCCCCTTGCAATACCAGAAGCTGAGCACAAGCTTGTACTTTCACAGGCAGTAACGGAATTATATACATCATCGATGAACAAGGCTGTGCGTGCCATAGTTTTGTTCTCTTTTGTTCTTCCATTCTTTCTTCTTGTTCAAACTCTGCATCTGGAAACCCTGAATTCCATGTCCAGGAAATACGCCTTTTGAGATGAGAAAATGATCCAAATTTGGTATGGATATATTTGCTTCTTTAACAGTTTCGTTTTGCTTCATTATATTACGGTTGCTTATTCTGCAGCTCCCCTTCATGGATCACAGCCCCGCCATTGTGAAGGGGCTTGCGTAGCACAATGACGCTATGAGCCGTGCCATGCAGGGGCACCCAAGACGGTCAGGTCATCGCTGAGAGCTCTGACAAAACGTGATCTGCTGGAGGAGAAAATGGCAACCCACTCCAGGATCCCCGCCATGAAAACCCCATGGACAGTACCAGAGGGCAAAGAGATAAGGCGCCAGAAGATGAGCCCCTCAGGTTGGAAGGTGTCCAATATGCTACTGGGGAAGAGCAGAGGGGTTGTACTAGTAGCACCAGAAAGAATGAAGTGACTGGGTCAAAGTTGAAAGGACACTCAGTTGCACATGTATCTGGTGGTGAAAGGAAAGTCCGATGCTGTAAAGAACAATAATGGATAGGAACCTGGAATGTAAGATCTATGAATCAAGGTCACAAAGTTGTGTCTGACCCATCGCAACCCCATGGACAACCTTCCTCCAGGCCTTCCTGTCCTCCACCATCCCCTGGAGTCCACTTAAGTTCACGCCGACTGCTTCAGTGACTCCATCCATCCACCTCATCCTCTGCCGTCCCCTTCTTCTTTTGCCATCTATTGTTCCCAGCAATAGGGTCTCCTCCAGGGAGTCCTTCCTTCTCATTAGGTGGCCAAAGTATTTGAGCTTCATCTTCAGGATCTGGCCTTCTAAGGAGCAGTCAGGGTTGATCTCCTCTAGGACTGACCGGTTTGATCGCCTTGCGGTCCAAGGGACTCGCAGGAGTCTCCGCCAGCACCACAGTTTAAAGGCCTCAACTTAGAGAGGCTGCTGGGTTCCCCTGAGTTCAGAGAACTAAGAACGCTGGAGAGAAAGAGCATCCCCATTACCCGCTTCCCACTCGGCAAGGCACCTGCCTGCAGCTTGGTCCAAACACTGCATGCATCTCTCGGTACCTTCTGCAACATCACATGCCGCTGTGTCAACACACATCTCAGATCACACACTGTTTCG